CAGAAGGTCCGCGATTGGTTAGAAATCCAATTACGTAGTGAATTGCGCATTAATGGTCCGTGTGACGTCACGTCATCAGATGCTGGCAGGGTCGCATCGGTCGCAGTGGTAATCCAGTTAATGTTGGAACTGGTGTTTAAACTCCGAACAGGGACTTCTATTAGGATGTATAAACAGCATCCAATGTTATTAAGCGAGTGCTTTCAGGTGTTAGGATTATGTTTAATCTTGTTAGAAATGTTCTTAATTTCAAACTTGTTATTTCAGAAGATTAACGTAATAAGAATAAAGAAAAATTTTCTGAAATTCTCCTTTTGCACTAGCGGAAGAACGTGTTTTTTTAACAAAAATTTTCTGTATTTAAATACGACTTCTATACGATTAAAAGGACGTAAAACAGTTACCGAGGACACAAATTTCTTTATATTAGATTAACGTAATTAACTTAACAAACAACAACTAACTTCTGAAGTGATTTATAAGCGAGCTCCAGCATGGTCGTACAACTACTGATGCATCTTTACTAGCTTAGGTTAGCTTTTCAGACCATTATTTACTGACGGGAGTCGCATAAAAATAGAAAATAATACAACAATATTACACAATATTTTGCATAATAAATAATATCAGAATTTTTTTAACAATCTTCATTCCTTGGAATTTTTAGAAAATAAATCCAATAATTTGACAAGAATACAAACTTTCGACGCATATCACAAGTAGAAAGATGGTGATTATAGTAAATTAATTACCCATCTCACAATTAACGCCTCAAAAGAAGGTTGAAAAATGGTGTTAGAGCTCATCGATTAGTCATTAAAGGCTAGCCACAATCAGCACTTCTAATCAGTTAAGTGTTTGGTGTGGCGGACTTGATAAATGACCGACATTGTTGTGCATGATGTTTAGAAAAGTCTCCGACTGCCATTATTATAGTAAATGATATAATTTATAGTTTTGAAGAGATGATATGACGGCAGAACGTCAATTGTTTCTTTTTGCCAATATTGATTTTACGTAATTCCCGAGTATGAGAAATGTTTGACGTACTGGATGGATAGACTAAAAAGACTGTTGATTCTGCAAACAAGTAGCAGAATATTCTTTACATGTACATTTTCTAAATCTCTACTCAATTTTGCCTTTTACATCATAGAAAAAAAACTTACAAATCATCATTATCAGATGGAATAATTCATTATTGATAAAGAGATATTGTAACAAAAATTACAGATTTCTAATAATAATTATAATAATCGTGAGACGATTTATGTTTCTACAGTTTGCAATTCGCTTCAAATAACATAATAACTTTTTCTAATTGAGCAATGTTCTAGAAAAATTAGCTTGAAATTGAAATCACTTATTCTTCTAAATTAATCTACCCGATGTATTAAAATAATACTGTAAATACATTCTGTAAAGCAAAATTTCAGTTGTATTTTCTTGTTTTTCTATGTTAATATAACTAGTTTTTTAATTTCTAATTTTTTTTTAAACAGAATGGAAAATTATAAGAATAGTTTGAACGTTCTTACGAGCCATCAGTGAGCAATGGATTATATAATTCATCTAAATCTAGCTCATTGTAGGTTAATTTGAGTTACAATGGTGATTGGTTACTAAAGCGAGAAATGGAAGGTAGCCAGATCTGACCATCCATGAAAGTCCCAACAGTATACAGAGAATTCGAACCCAATCCCTAATGGCTGTAGGAGAATACCTTATCGCGTAATCATGTAGATATTTGACAATATTTCTGAAATAAAATAGCTTAGAAACTTAATACTATTTATCAGATTAATTAATAAATTGAGATCTCTAGAGAGACATAATTTAATATTTAGAATATTTCTAAATTCTAAGAAGTGATCAATACAGAAATGTTTTCCTTAAAAGTTTAAGAAACATTCTCTGAATGATTTCAAGATTATCAATTTTTAAGGATTAGCTACATCATTCTATAATCTTAGCTTTGATTGGCCAAGTTACGTTAATTTTGCAATAGAAAACTATTTATCTCGAACTACTTATTATCATTAATAATTATATGGCGTATATAAAATCATTTTAATTGGACAATAACTAATTTATAAAATCCAAATGACTCGGATTCTTCTGAATTACGAAGCCATACGACACATCTTTGGAATTGGAATTTCAGTGGAAACTGGACGATTGTGTTTACCTCGTTTCACAATAGGAAGCCAACATTAATGCCAGAAGGACATTGCTTTCCTAGTTAGTGCCATAAAGCTGAGTTGATTACGAAATGCGAGGTAGAAGTGCAATAGTCATTTGGGAATGTTCATATCGGAATTGAGATACTGTCATAATGTTAACCGCAATAAACTAATAACTTTCCCTTACCAGTGCGTCATGTTGTTTGAAATGTTGCCCCTTATTGGATATTTCTGTCAAAATCTTTAGTACATACAGATGCTAATTTGTCCTTAGGTGTTCCCCTTTAAGATATTGGACTTTTGCTGATTATGTCTCGCGGGGTTCGTATCCTTCAGCGCAGCAATATTTGTTAATTATAACAATGAAGATAAATAATATTTGAAAGCAGTAATCCTTCAGTCTTATCAATTCAGAGAATATTAACTTGTTAAAGATTTGTTTGTATACCAGAATTAGTTTATCTGTCTTACTCTTTACAAAGAACTATCTATAAGGAAATACATTTTATTATCTTACAAGTATCTCTTCATCGATGCTGATGTTATTGAAGATATAAAATTCTTTTACTAATAATTTCCATAAAAGTTAGTAAATTTTTTTGATGAAATTAATTTAATAAAACTTTGGAAAGTAAACTATGAAATAGCGAACATGTCCTTTATTAAATAGTTAATTTTCGATCTGCATTGATGTGCTGAAAATAAATTTTCTAATAAGACTTCCCGATTTTAATATGGAAAATTTAATATAGAATGATGGACCTTCCAACAAGTCAAAGCTTAACAAGTGACTTAATTGACTGATGAAAACATTTGATATAAGAGTAATAAATAAATAAACCTCTTNATAAATTTTATTAATTTTTCACCACGCCAGTTACATATTTTATTTAATTTTAATAATATTATTACTAGTGTTGTGTTATTTACTTCATTTTAGATTAATAAATTAATATATATATATTTTTTTGTAATTTCTCTGCGGTCGTAAAGAATTAAAGAACGTAATTTAATCTAAAACCTTTTTTTATTAATTATTGTAATTAAAATAATTATTTAATAAATGTCTCATTTATACTTAAATAAATTCTTCAAAAGATTTTATTTATTTCCTGGAAAATGTATTAATTTCTTATTTAGATTATTCAAGAACGATTATAATAAAAATTGACTGAAGTTCTATTTGTTAAAATAATTTTAATTCGCTGATACAATTCTTCAGCTAATCAAAATAGCATTTATTCGTCTTTAAATGTATTTGCATATCATGTTTATTTTTGTAAAATGTTTTTGCTAAATGTAAATTATTTGCCTTTAATTTCATAGGTTATTTCGAATTTAAGCAGTAATAGAACTTGTGTTATTGCAGCAATAACTTTAGTAAGCAATTCATTTTATTCTAGACACATCGCAGTTGAAGTTCTTTTCCTCTTAGGGACACACTATTTGCCAAGAAGTCTATCATCGTGAGTACTTTCTTTCTTTGACAATTCTCCTTTCACCAAATCTTCACGTGTATTTTAAGAGCATACCTCTAAAATTTCCTAATACAATTATTAAAGAAACTTTTCAGAATCTAAAATTCTCAAATTAGATAATATTATTTGAAGTGCAACTGCTAAATAATTTCTAGAAATTATCGTAAATTATTTAATTATGAGTCATATATATCAAGAGTTTAAATTAAAGAACAATTTACTATTGATATTTCCTAGACAATAATTTACAATTTAGAGATAAATTTTCAATAATTTATTCTTTTAATTCAAAAAAAAATCTCTTAAAGTTTGCTATATAATCGTGTTAAAGCGACAAATTAATTCTCGTCATTTTAATTAAATATTTAAATACATTCATCTGATTAATCAGTTTTTATTTTTCATATAATTTTTGTTATAATATAATTAAATAATTCCAAAATTTGGTTTAAAAAAATACTATTATTCTTTAATTATTTTTTTCTCAATGCAGACTTACTGGTAGTTCTTTCTTTATCTGCAAGTTGTTTACTTATAATTCTGTAATAAGCATATACAAATTATATTCTGAATAAACATCAGAAAATAAACAAAATGTACATCGTCTTAGCAAAAAAATATAAAGAAGTTAATAAGTTAATGGACATATCTTGTTCTGATGGAATATAAGATTACTGACTTTTAGTTAAAAAGTCACATATCAAAGCTTATCATAAAGAAATAATTCTTTTCAATATGAGTAAATGAGAGTAATTTTTTATGTATAAGATTTTATAAAGTATATTTTTAATATATTGTAGAGAAATACTGTCTATGAATAATGTCGAAGAAGTAATTTACTTTATCAGTTGCTGTTGGAAATAAAAATAAGAAAGGTAAACAAATTTTCTTTCTAAAAATTTGGAAACAAAAGTAAACACAGTAAAAAATCTTATTGAAATATTTATTGCCCACAAAATTGCATCGATTTTTTTAAGTTATGCGATACAAAAAAACGTTACTCGTCTATTTGATTTTCAAAACGTGTTAATAATATATTATTCTACTTTTAAAATAAGACATATTCTTAAGATAGAAGGAAAAAATAACTCCACTAAAGATAATCAAATCACGAGATTACTTAGAAAAGTTTGGTATGATTTAATAACATTTTATCATATTACTATAGGTGGACACTAGTTTCTGAACTTATATTTTAAGAAAATTATCAAGACAAATTTTTAAGAAAAAGAAAGAAAAAATATATATAAATATATATTTGTCCAACGCTGCTAAGGCGAAAAGTAATAAGAAGAAACATTTGGTTATCTTAGTCTACCATTGTTATGTTTATCACGAAATGTCAAGGGAGGAGTATGATATCTAGATTGCATGTTAGCCTATATTTTCTGCAGAATCTAGAATTCTTAAAATCAAATCTGGAATGAATTTAGGAGTTAATAGGGTGGAAGAAATCTGGGAGGAGTGTTGAGATTCTATGGAAACATATATTTTTCACAGAATCCTTGAGAGTAAGTATGAAAATTTGGTGCATATCAGTCATAGGGTTTAGAAGTGTATAGAGAACAGACAGACATTTTATTTTATATAGCGTATATTAACGTACTTATTAACATAATATTAACATAGACATACATTCTGAACTTCATTTTATTTTTATTTTTAATAAATTAATTTGCTATTTTTGATATTTTAAATGTTTTAAGATAGATCTACGTAGTACAAACGTTAACATTTTTAATAGTTATAAACAGTATATAATTATATTTATTATCTATTTGATAAGAGAGATTTAATTTTATTTCGAAATTAATGACAGTGTATGATATTGAATTACATACCGTATTTATCTAATTTTCATTATCGACAATTGCCAGAAATTAAATACTTAAAATGATTATTTTAGAAATTTTAAAAATATTTTTTATTTTAAAATTATTAAATTTTTTAAATCAGAATCTATTATAGAACGATTGGTAAGGAATATTTTCTCTAGTTAGTGTCGAGAATTTTATGTCTTTTTGTCACGAAAATATTCAGTTGAAATGGATCTTTCTATTTTTCTTTCCGAAATGGCACATATTTTTCTTACTTTCTGCTAATCTAACATCATTTATTGTGTTTATACTTGTATATATATATATTTTATCACTTATTTATGAATTTATTTTATAATTTTTATTTATATTTTTGGCATTATTTTATATCATTTTCTAATTTACTTGCATTAATTTTTAAATCGCATTTTTCTAATTTCAATTTATATATAATTTTTGATGTTATCTCTAATAATAACAGTAACAAATTTTAACACTTCTCATAATATATTTTTAATTTTCATTTTTACAAAAATTATTACAAAATCATAACATTTATCTAATAAGAGAACAATAACACTAAAAACAAATAAAAGTTTTAGAATTTTTTATTACAAAATTTAAATTCTTTATGTAATGTTAACATAAGGATAGATTTTTAAAATGTTAATTCAAAGTATAGAGAAGTATATTTAAATTAAAATAAAATTTTAAGAAATCATTTTGAATAATGTATGATGTCAACTGTATGTAAATCTTATTTCTGTCTTTGTTNCTTATTAACATAATATTAACATAGACATACATTCTGAACTTCATTTTATTTTTATTTTTAATAAATTAATTTGCTATTTTTGATATTTTAAATGTTTTAAGATAGATCTACGTAGTACAAACGTTAACATTTTTAATAGTTATAAACAGTATATAATTATATTTATTATCTATTTGATAAGAGAGATTTAATTTTATTTCGAAATTAATGACGGTGTATGATATTGAATTACATACCGTATTTATCTAATTTTCATTATCGACAATTGCCAGAAATTAAATACTTAAAATGATTATTTTAGAAATTTTAAAAATATTTTTTATTTTAAAATTATTAAATTTTTTAAATCAGAATCTATTATAGAACGATTGGTAAGGAATATTTTCTCTAGTTAGTGTCGAGAATTTTATGTCTTTTTGTCACGAAAATATTCAGTTGAAATGGATCTTTCTATTTTTCTTTCCGAAATGGCACATATTTTTCTTACTTTCTGCTAATCTAACATCATTTATTGTGTTTATACTTGTATATATATATATTTTATCACTTATTTATGAATTTATTTTATAATTTTTATTTATATTTTTGGCATTATTTTATATCATTTTCTAATTTACTTGCATTAATTTTTAAATCGCATTTTTCTAATTTCAATTTATATATAATTTTTGATGTTATCTCTAATAATAACAGTAACAAATTTTAACACTTCTCATAATATATTTTTAATTTTCATTTTTACAAAAATTATTACAAAATCATAACATTTATCTAATAAGAGAACAATAACACTAAAAACAAATAAAAGTTTTAGAATTTTTTATTACAAAATTTAAATTCTTTATGTAATGTTAACATAAGGATAGATTTTTAAAATGTTAATTCAAAGTATAGAGAAGTATATTTAAATTAAAATAAAATTTTAAGAAATCATTTTGAATAATGTATGATGTCAACTGTATGTAAATCTTATTTCTGTCTTTGTTAACATGTATTTTATTTAAATATTTTATGTAGTCTTACTTATCTCTCTCTCTCTCTATTTTGTTGCAATTCAAATTTTTATTTATGGTACCTTTTCCGATTCTGTAACTGTGTCCGGATTGTCCTATTAAGTCGGATGATGTACAATTCGTACAAATATAAGGTAAAGTTTCGATCTTCCAAATATATCATTTTGCAATTACGACAAAGAAAATGAAACTTTTCTTGAATTATTACATATTTTTAAATGTTTTTTTTTTATTTTGAAAACTTTCATATATTGTCATTATTCTTTGTTTTCCTTTTAAGAATATTTTTATATAAATTTCTAATACTTTTTTAAAAATTTTATTCAGCCTATTCTAAATGTAGAACGAAGATCAAATGATAGATATAGAATGTGACCTTGGAAAATAATAGAATATTTCTAAATTCGTCGTATATGCTTATATAAACATGAGTTATAATTATATAGTCCCTGAAGAAGAAGAATATTTTAATGAAGTATATTGTAAATATAGTTTTATTAACGATAATAACTTAAATATGGTTCGATATACTTCCCTATGCACACATACTCGTATATATATTTTAATTTTTCTAACGAATTTATTCTTAATAAATTCATGTCCTTACAATCTTCATTAAAATGCATTTCGGATAATATCTTATAATTATGAAAATTGCGACGAGTGCTTGTTTTTCTTAATTTTACCTCCATTTATACAACGTTATTTACTTAAGTTATTGAAAATTGTGTTTTTACATTATATTTAAAATTAATTGTTTTCGATTATTATTTCTTTTTTCGTGTTTTTAATTTATTATTTTTTTTCTGATTAATCTTACTAACTTGTTTTCTGTTTTCAATATTAATCGATCTTGTAATTATTTTTATTGAAAAGACATTAGGTTTCTATGAGGTGGTAAAATTTCAATCAATTTTCTATGAATAATGTAACACACCATGTTACTTACATATAAAATTTTGATGTTCGTCACAAGTTCAATTTCTTTAACAGTTTTGTGACACTAACGTCATGCCGATATATTTTTAATATAGAATATTGTTTAAGTTTATTTCCCTTTGGTGGTTTCTTCCATCACTTACAATAATCTTCAAACAGAACCGGTGAGTCGTGTTACAATATTTATCATATATATTATTATTTCTATTATATTACAATATATTAGTATTATTACTACGTGTATATATGTGTCTTTAATTGTCTTATTAAGTGAATTAACTTATATATATATAACTTATATACATATTTGTTTATATATTTGTGAGTAATAATAAACGTTTACTTTAATATATATATTTCTAAATAGCTTGTTTACACACGTTATTTTTCATCAAATTTCTCATTTATTTTTTATTATGCTCTTCTTTGCTCTTGGTTATTTTCTAATAAAATTAGAATAGCTTACTACATAATGGTTATCAATCTCTATTTTTAGTATCAGAAACTAAATTACTGTATATTCTTGTATAGTACTTATCCAATTTTCGATAAAGATTGTTATATATTATATGTTAAAGAAATATAAAATAAGTATTTTTCCTGTCATGCATTCCATTCTTCGGAAAAATTTTGAATTGAAATCACGTGACTTCCGGTTTGGACCGGAAGTTCGTAGATACCTCCTGCCCCTAAGCTGTCCATATCTGGTTTCGACTTTCATCTATCTAACATCGTTCTCGAGATTAAGGAAGGGTAGACAGACAGACGGAAGTGGGAATTTATAGCTCTACAGTTTTTTCTCAAATTGCGGCCCAATAAATTTAACTGTAGTTTTAATATCAAACTGTTTATATACTTTGTTTCTTTACGTATTTCTTTATTAAGAATAATATTAGTTATTATTAATACTATATTATGAAAACAAAGTTTACTATTACCAAAAAAAAAATTGACTACTACTATGTAATTTCATTTTTTTCCCAATGTTTCGTGAATTATGCAAGTTGATAAAACTCTATCAACGAATAAAAGTTGACCTTCTCTAGGGAAAACGACTGACATTTAAACCAAATTAACTAATATACATTAAGCTACGGTCGGTGCAGTATGCAGATTAAAGTTAACAGATCATTTATTTCTAGATTCAAAGATTAATGAATTTGTTTGAAGAGGATGATCGTTCAGTTTTCCTTAGTAGCAAATTTGTAAAAAATTTTTATTTATATCTTCATAAAACAAAAGAATTAACTAAGCTTTCTGCATTTATAAAAATGTCGTGCACGTAAGAGTTTTAATTTCTAACAATACATTGACTACTATTTATAAATTAACGTTAAGGTTTATTCGACCACAAAATTGCTATTTCACCAAATGCTAGTAATAACATTAAATTCAAATAATTCGGTTAATGATAATTGTTGAAGAAAAATAATAAAAGTTCATAGAATGCACGAGAAACTTGGAAATGTAGAAAAGAAATAAGAGATGGATCTATTATATTCCTGGTTAGATATAAAAGAATGGTAATCGATTATCAATATTTCTACCATTTTTTTTTGGTATTTTTTTTTAGAATCTTATGAATGGAGTGGAAATCTCTTATCAGAAATTCTTGTGATCTTTATTTTGTTATAAAAGTAACAAGGAAAGAGACCCGACTGATTTCTGATGACACATTTGTGAAGTAGTTTATATGGATATCCTACTTAACTTTTTATCAGCTTTAAATTGCCCGAGAACGACGAGATAATTTTTAAACCAATATTAAAATATCTTCCTTTCCTCTGTAAGGAATGTTGAAAGAATAATACTTGAAAATAATTTCCTTCGCAGTTTATTGTACTTTTTCGCTACTACTCCAGACGTTTAACTTTCCTAACATGTCTGAATTTAATTAATTTTTTTACTTAAGAATATATTACAAGGAAAACAGACGTAAACATAAACATTAATTAAAATAAAATAGAAGACATAAAAGCTCGGGAGTCCGTATCATTGTAATATTACTTTATGGCACCAGAGGGCAGATACGTCTCGAAGGGTGCTTATCGAAAGGAGACTTTATCAAAATCCGAAGATGATCAATACAATGTTCGTGTTCAACAATCTTCCTTACCTGACTCTAACATCTGACGGTCATTTTACCCAAACCATTCCAGTATCAACGATGCTATTGTGGTAGTTTTACCAGAACAGGAAGTTGTAGTCCTTGGTTCACTACACTACAACGTAATGTCATGGATTTGCTGAGTGCAAAAGGAAATTGAAGCTACATCTCTTCCTACTTCAATCATTCTGTACAGAAACTGGATCAACTCGAGTGTGCACGCGTTTAATTATCTATCATTCAAAGCTAAATAAAGATTTAATTATCGTAACTTCTCCAACTCGGAGATTTTTCACAGACAATTTTAAATATACGAAAAAATAAAAGTTAAAGGAGATAAATGGAAAAGAATTACATTTTTATCAATTTTTTTTTTTTAATTTTATTTTACTTACGCCAGATATTTACTTTTTAAATATTCATCTTATAAAAAGAAATAGATGAAGTTCATCAATGTGAAAGTTAGAGAGATGACGTGTTGATATTTTCTCCTTTTTTTCGACTAAACTGGCAAACTAATAACATATCAACGTAAAATGAGTTTTCTGAAAACAAATTTATGCTAATATTATTGCGGGTATTTACATAATTACCATCTGAAAGTTTGTTACGAGTAAGATCGTGGTAAGACTGAATGGTAATTGCAGCTATTTACACAGAGACTAATGGTTTCGTTCAAAGTCAGTATATAAGTCATAGATTCTATCCTGTAACTGCTAACTGAAGTAAAATACTTTTAATCGTATCGGTTTTTACATATAATAAAGTCAAAAACTGAATTAATATTTATCAAATTAGTCGACCATAAATGCTGATTTATAAGTTTATTTTTAAAGTTTTCCTGAAGAGTTAGATAATGATAATGCTCCACATTAAGCACATTTGAAATTAAAATACATTTTAAAATCATTTCAAACTTTTACACTACGAAAAAAAAATGTCATTTTACATCACTGAAAATAAAATAAGTCTATTTTTCATTTACATTCTCGATTATTGATTTTAAACCATTTATCCAAGAATAATCTTTTATAACAAACTTCAAAGTATCTTTATATATATTTAAACATTTTTAAAACTAAAATCATTAATTAATTCTTTAATTGAATAGGAATTTAATTTAATAAAAAATACTTGAAGAAAGTCCAAAGAGCAACATCTCTCAACAAATTCTAAATTACACTAATTAAGAACTTCAGACATTCATAATAATCAAGTATACTTCACATTCACCAAAATTCTGTAAGAACTAAAAAGTTTTTAAATAATTTTAACCCAGGCGTAACTAATAACATTTTAAATTGTAAAAATTCTCCGAAGTTATTCTAATATAATTTTTAATTTATTTAATTATATAATTTCATTTTTTTCTCATATAAATTTGCCGAAAAAATGTTAAGAATATATTTTTTAATATTAAAAATAATATAGAACTTATCTAACTTCTGTTTTCTTTATGCTAACTTTCTGTGACCGAGTTACTTTCGTGGATACTACTTTAAGACATTTTATATGTATTATGAGTTAAAACTTGGGATATTTTTTTTTCTGATGAACTTCTCAAGCTGTTAAAATTGGCTACTATAAAATTAAAAGGACAAATGTCTTTTTAGAATGACCAATGGTTTCTTGTTATGTACGTCTTGGGAAAATATATCTTGCCAAGTTGCCACAATTGATGTTTATTACACATTTGGAGGCAGAATACATTTATTTTTCTACATTAAGAACAATGTTATTGTAAAGAATGATCATACCACAATACTGAAAGACGATATAAGCTTTGATAGTACTTCCTAGAATGTATTAATTCTCGACAGTGCTATAAATATGTCAGGGATAAATTTTATTAATTTTTCACCACGCCAGTTACATATTTTATTTAATTTTAATAATATTATTACTAGTGTTGTGTTATTTACTTCATTTTAGATTAATAAATTAATATATATATATTTTTTTGTAATTTCTCTGCGGTCGTAAAGAATTAAAGAACGTAATTTAATCTAAAACCTTTTTCTTAATAGACTTTATTTTTCTGTAAAATGACCGAAATGTTTGTTTCTATAAGATAACAGTAATTAAAAAGACCAAATTAAATTATTTATATCATAAGAGTAAAGAATTAAAATTAACTTTTTATTCTTAGAGTAAAAATAAGTTTTACAGTTATCTATCAATGTATTTTTTTTCCAGGAAAGACAGAGAAGTTGTGAGGGATCAGTTCTCATCCAAAATTCATTTCGGGTTAAAGATAGTAGTCGATGATTATGAGAAGAGTAAATAAGCTCGAGATGGAAGGAGGGTGAGATTATCTCAAAGAAATCGAATAGCGGACGATGCTGAGGTAAATCCCAAAGCGATAATTGTCTGTGCCTGTCTCCGTCTGTTTGTTCAGCGACCGTCGAAAGGACCAGTAATCCCAACTCTAGGAGGTTTGTCGGTTCAATGTAACCGTCCAATCCATCAAGAAACTCCCCGGCGGTCCAACTGTCCTGTCTTGTTACTATGGACCTTGTTAGCCTTTCTGTCAACCGACTTTTCCACAATTACAGCGCGTTTTCTTTTTCTCTCTATCCATACAACACTGGCAGTTTGCACTTCCCTATATATTTGTTAGGCGTTCTTCTCCAGATGAAGTTTTCTCCGCCAAGGTATGAGACACATCATCCCGAATTAACGTCAACGGCTTTGAGAGATTACTTCTTTCAATGAAATATATCGTAACAAGTAACAAGCTTCTTTTATTGGCACGTGTTTATATTGGCGACAGAATATAAAAAAGAATTTTTTACACACTTTTCAAAATTTTCTCATAATGAGAATCATTTTCTTTTTAATTCTATTTCAAACTTCAAATAATATATTATATATTGAAACGTATAAAATTAAACTAAGAAACTATTTTTTTCAGTTTTACTATATTTAAATACATAAATAGTTCATATACTATCAAGTAAATTACTTGATTCTTCCCAAGATAATATGTTTGGTTATGTTTTCTAATGGTTAGTCTGCGGAATTAATAAATATATTTATAATAATTCAATCATAATAAATATAAATAATATACAATATAAAATATCTTGAGCAGTAGCCGTTTAATTACTAACCTGTAAAATGGCTAAATTATTTTAATTTTATTTATAAATAATCAAATTGTTTTAGTTAAATTAAATCCAAATAATAAATATATTAATTATTTTTCATTTTAAAAATACTAAGTAAAAAGAATTAAATATAAAATAAACTAAAAATTTAATTATTATTTTATTTAAATTAATAATTAGATTTTTATAAATTAAGCTATAAAATAAATTGTTTTATATTTAATTATTCAGTTTATTTTTCATTTAACTCTTCTTATTTGGCGTTTTTAAAATAAAATGAATTGATATACTTATTATCCGGATGTATTTTAATTAGATTGTAGATGATTAATTAATGTTGTCAATGTGTATATACACTTATCTTCCTTTATCTTTTAATAAAACATTTTCAAATTATTAAATTAAAACAATAAAAAATTCATACTATTTAATCATTATTAATATTGTATACTTTTATATTATAAACGTATACTGTATTGTAAGAATATAAGTATAAATATTTCTAGTATAACATTATATCATTGGTAAAATTTATAAGTTATAAACATGTTATATTTTTCAATTTTTAATTAGGAGAATAGGTAATTAATTAATACTCAAATATTATTAATTATTTACACGTAAAATGACGAGTACTCTAGCTTTGAAAAACTGGTTTACTGTAAAAGAATAAAAAAAAAGAGGAAACTAGTTTAAGGGGGGATTTTCAAAAAGACTTTTATTGGTTTAAGATCTGATATCATTTTTGTCTCAGATTTAGAGATGAAGAAACTGGAGCTTGATTCTGTGATGTGCAAGATACATACAAAGAAGAGGAAACGTTCAATGAAAACTTTTATTCTCGAACTGTAGAAGACGATAAGAAGTCAGAAGATTATTTATAAAGATAAATTGAACATTAAATACAGTCCAAAGTATGGTCCTTTATACCGAATGGCAAGCGTGATAAAAGTTGGTTCCGAGAACTATGACACTCGTGGGAACAATTTGCTGTCAATAACAATGTCTCTTATTGTTTCTTCTTAGGATCTCTTTATTCTTTATGATGTCCCATTAAAATAGAAAGAAGAAGTATCATAATAGAATAATATTACTCCTACGATATACATTATAAAAGCACTATTTTAACACTATGATTAAACGTCGCGAATTTTTATTGTCTTCATTTAATCATTCGAGAATTCTCTATTAAGCGATGAAAATATTGTTTGTAATTAATTAGTGTAGAAATAAAAAGCGTTAAATAATTACTTAAACCGAGTGTATAAAACAGTTTTATATTTAATTAATCTAAAGCAAACTTTGTTTCATTTCATCGAGTGTTTATAAAATGAAAAGAGTTAACTCTTTTCATTTTATACATTGTAAATTGGATATTTTGATGTATAAAAGAATTTTTAAAAAAACAATTTCTTTTCTTCATTAATCATTAATTTCGAGTGGTTTATTTTCTTAAGAATGACAACAATAAATAAATTTCTACACGAAACCAGCAATCTAATTTTACAAAGTTTCATGTTCCAAATATCAGATAAGGGAAAAAGTAAACCTATTTAAAATGAAGATTTATTAGTTTTATGTAAAAATATTACTCTTAATTCCCAAATGGAATATAATTAGATACTTCCTTCAAAAGCTAATCAAAAACATAATTGTACGGCTCTTTTTTCCTGGTTTCCATCATTTCTGGCATTTTCCTTAATCTTTTGGAAAGCTATAGTCTTTCCTCTTTTCTAATCTTTCAAACTTAACATTGTGTTTTTTAGTTGTTGAACGGTCGTAAATATGCAATAAACCACCAGTCTGCGGTTTGATGGAAGTCATTTATGATTTTAAGACCTCAAATCCGCAGCGTTTATATACTTTAACGTTCAATCTTTTTCATGTTTATCTCTTGATGAGATATTCTCATTAGACGAATGATTTCCTTATCCAGACTCTACGCTTTCTCTTCTTGTCATAAAGTTACCAATGAAGAGTTTCTAAGATAAAATTGTTTAACAACAAGGAAAATCAAGGACGAAGAAAAAGGAAAAAAAAAAAACGGGGGAAAGGAAATAACTAAGCAAATCCTTTAGCTTTTAACAATGTTCCGGCCATTCTTATTTATCCAACTAAATTAATATCATACTAAAACTTTGCTGGGTTTTATGGATTTTTATGGAAGCTTTGATTAGACTTATTTTTATGGTACCAATAAAACTGTTAATGTTTCAAGTTAGCAAATTAGAAATAACGTCGGAGGTAAGAAAGAATATTTGAATTTGCCTGTTATGTAAAACTCTAAAGTGTGAGTTTTATACTTGGTCGAAAATTTAGACTTTAAAAATTTACATTCTAAGATAAACTTCTATTAAGGAATGAAAACATTTTTCGATAATTAATAAAATAAAAATAATAGTTTGTTATTTAATTTACTACACATCACTTTCGTTAGAAATTAATTACTAATTATTCGTCAGAAGAAAAATTATCAATAATACTAATGCATTAAATTATTATTTTAGTTGTAAATAGCTACATAATTTATCAATTTAATGTATTGATAAAATGGTGTATTTATTGCATAAATTCGTGGCAATTCATCTTTTATGTTGGATTTATAGCTTCTGATATATTAAAGTCTTGTTCTAAAACTAAACGCAACAAAAATAGCATTATAGATTTTAAAATTTTGCAAACTCTTATATTATTTTCTCTAATTTATCTCGTAAATTTAAAAAAAGAATCGATAATGAAGAATCTGTAAAGATATTTTTCCGCAGTTTAATGTCATTTTAATGATGAAATTTTTAACATTAAAGTTTCACGAAGTAGTCTAAATTTGTTGTATATTAGCAATATATGTTTTTATAATGTCTGTGATTATAAGAATTGATCTCTGAAATACTTATTAGCTTCTTATACTTGTTACATCTTTCAACTCTAATCCTTTAAATGATAATTTGATGATGAGAAAGAGAGATAAGTTTACGAAGAAAGGAAAAATATCCGATTAAATAAGACAAAAACTGTGCATCTTGTCTTATGAGAAGCAAAAAGTGGACAATACTGAAGAGCTGAGCGTAGTTAAAGAATCTTTCAGTCGCCAGTCTTTTTCTTGGGAGTTGTTTCATGACTCTACAAAAGCATAGAATACCTCCTTTGGGACCTTCAGTGACAAAAAATAGAAAGATTGTAACGTTTAAGAGACTTTGGCTACCGAGAAATAGAATTGACCATCCGGAAGAATAACTTTTGATTGGAAAGGTACTTTTCTATCAGAGCATGACATTCTTGTTGAGAATTAAACTATTTAATGTTAGAATTACAAATATATTTAAAGAATATTGTAATATAATCTCGTCTAAAGCTTATCTTTTTACTAATAAACGATGATAAATAATGTTTTTTAAAAAAAAAAAAAAAAAAACGTTAAATTATTTTTAAAATTTTCTTTCTTAATTTAACGTCTTTTAAATATCTAAATTTAATGATTTAAAATCTCTAAAGTTAATCCTCTCAATTTTAGTTACTGAGGTTTTTACGCGTATTATTTTCTAATTTTTAAAGAGTAAATTAAATAAAACTACGGTTTAAAAATCATTTAAATCGCTACGATAATTTCTAAAAAAATAAACTAAATTAAAACTTTTAATACGTTAAAAAAATTCTTGTTAAAAATCTTAATCAGATTTCTAACAAGATTTACTTCTCTGATTTTATCATAATAACTCAATGCCATAAACAGTAAATAATTAAAGGAGAAAATTGGTTTAAAACTTTAATAATGACACATTAAATTTCCTTCTTACTTAAACGAATAAAATTATAGTAATTCTGAAAATTAAAAATTAAAAAAAAAAAAAATTATGGAAGATGAAATTTAAGTTGTGACGGTCGGAAGTGAAAGGCTGACGTCACTGGAAAAGAGGAAGTCATCTATCAGGATGACGTCACACGCTGTCAATCGAAGAAGACGCGATAGCAACCGGAAATTGGAGAGAGTCATTAAGTTAATTTCTTTCGGTCCCCCTTTTTCTTCTTCCCTCCGACGGTTACCTCTCTATCTATCGGAAGTGCTATTTAATTTGCACTGACGTGACGTCATTTCAACGATGGCAGAGGGAATTCTGATCGCAATTAATTGAAGTGAGAAAATTTCTCAAGTCGAAAATTAAAGAAAGTTTTGTCAGCTCAGCCTTAGTTTAAATATAGAACATTTTTAATTTATATCCAGTTATCTCTTTTATTCTCTCTAAACGTTTTAATAAAAATTTTGCTTTAAGAAATTCTTTCGATTCTTCTTTATAACTTATCGAATGAAATGTTACCTTTGAACAGCTTCTTCTTCTTCTTCTTTTTTTTTTATAAATAAAGTTTATTTCCTGTCCTTGCATACTTCCGTCTATCTTAATGCTAAAGCATGAAAGTTTAGATGAAAAATTTAAGAAATTATTTAATTATAATCTCTAAAATTTGCATAACTTCCTGATTAATTAAAAAATTTCATTCTTTTAATGTAACAGTATGGCTCTTACCATCCTAGAGGCTCTTGAGAAATATTATTCGTGAGATTTTTTATCATAAAGAGATTTAAGTTTACAAGTTTATTTTTGTTTTAATTGACTTTCTTTTTCTTTTCTTTCTTTTATTTTTTAAATGTTTTTATCAAATAATTTTTAATTTCTCGCTGCATGTTGGCTTCTTTTTTCCTTGTTATGTAAAGATAACCCAAGTTATAACAGGCCTGTTCTTCAAATATATAACATTTTAGAAAGATTAAATTCTTTATTTTCGTGTGATTTATATAAAATAGTAAATTAGTGTAGATAAATTATAATTAATTGCTAGTTTGTATTTATCTACAGTGAAATTCACGAATTTTATGCTGTCATTTTATATTTTTTTTAAGCATTTCGATTTTTTTTTTCTAGCTACGAATCAAGTGACATTCGATAAATGTAGATGTATCTAAGTTTGAAACTTTGATTTTTCTTTCAGTTTTACTTCGTTATTTCTCTGTTGTGTTTTATTTTGTTACATCTGGCAATGACTTTCGACATTGGTTAATTTAAAATATTAAATCTTAATGAAAAACATCTGCTTAAAAATCCATTTTCTGTAGAAAAATTATATATTTCTAAAATATTTTTCTTTGATAAATGTTTCGAGAAACTAACTTCATCAATCGTTACCGGTGAAAAACATCACTATTGTGACAATTCGAGATTAAAAACCGTTTCATTCTAACAGTTGGGAATTTCCTCTTTAGATTTTTGTTAAGTTTACAATTTACTTGACATTTTATTTCTATATTGATAATACACGGTATATATAATTATTTTCCTGCATTTACAATGATTACATGATGTAGGTTATAACAGAAAATGCCATTTTAAAAGTAAATTATGTTACAATTTTGGCAAATATTCTCACATTCTTGTTACGATATAAATAAAAGTATTTATTATTTTTTTATTTTGTTAAAGTTATCTTTGTTTTTCTTCTTATATTCGTTATTTTCTTACATTTTTTTTCCTTGCTGTAGCGAACAATTAATGGATGAAAGGGGAAGCGAAATGTCATGGGAGTTAATAAAAACTTAATCTTTATAGAACACTAGTTCTAAATTACAACAATAATTGTTAATAGTTATTTACGCTCGAATTGTTAAAGTCTTAAACTTTGTTCTTATATATTTATTTGCAACAATTTAGCAAAAAATTATAATGAAGATAAAAGAATCATTCCTAAATTTTTTTAATTTAAAAGTAAAGTTATATACGATAAATAAGAAGTTCCTAACAAGTCATTTTACTTAATACTGGGAAGACTTCATTTTTTTAATGTTTAACGCCATATTGAAATTAATTATTTTGTTTTTTATATTTAATACAAAAGAAAAAAAGTATTTTATTTTTTACATTTATAATAAGCTTTAAATTATCATTATTTTCCATAAAATTTTTCATTTAGAAAAGTGATTTAACACGAAAAACAGCAAGAATTGCAAAGTAGGAGTCGCGTGCTATCTTTGGTAGCTTCGTATTTTTTTTTTTTTTGTGTGATAAATTCAGCTCATGGTCTAACATTTCATGTCGAAATAAGTTTAAAAATCTTTCGCTGGGATAGTCAAAGAGATTAAGAATGGACATAAACAACATCTGTTTACCTCACTTTTGGATGGCCATAATAGTAGAAGAGTTGCCTTGGGAAGGGTGACAGCTGGTCCGAGACCGCGTGAGATCTTGTTACTTCTTTCACACAATCG